GGATTGAACTCGGGTCCTTGCACTTGCAAGGCAGGCAGCAGCATCACTGAGCTAAGTCCCTGGTCCCCTTCTCCATTCTTGAGAGCTGCGCTGACATGGTCTCTGGTGGCATGCTCCAGCCCTATGACCCAGGCCTAGCTCAGGTACACATGAGGAAGAGAAAGGACATTAACTCTTGGTTTCATCTTGACTGGAAAACCTGAGTCCCCAGACTGCCCTGTCCTACCCTCAACCTTCCCAAAAACTTCAGTGTTTGTCATCTCCAAAATCAGTGACCCCAGCTTCCTTGTGGCCCTTTCAGAGGAGGTGGCAGAGGCAAAGAGAGGAGCTGCAAGCCCCAGGTCTCCCAGCAAGGTGGCGCAGAGGTTGTCCAGATCAACACAAAGGAACAGGAGGGTGTAGTAAGCAGGGGTGAGGTGGAGTGGAGCCTGGGGATGGTAGGTAGGGAAAACAGCCTCAGGCTTCTGTCCCTTGGAGAGAGCTGGGTTTGGGAGCTGCCTTCCAGGAAGGTCAGAACTGGTTCCCAGGTGAGAGCCCCACACCCTTGGCAGCCACCTAGCCCCTGGTCCTTTCATTTGCCTCCAGCAGGCCAGGAGAAGGGGCTCACAGAGGACACCTGGAGGATGTGTAATAGAAGCAGGAGGAAACTCAGTTCCTACTGCACAGGCAAGAGTCGGTGGGTTGCTTCAGAGCCTCCTGCCCAGCTTAATGCCAGCCCAGTGTCCACCCTATCCCCTGCCCCTATGAGAATGTGATGAGGGAGCTGCTGTGAGGGTCTGCTGGGGTCAGCTTAGTGCTGAAGATGATCCCAGGGCCAGAGACCCCCACAAGGCCCCTGCCCCGGCCTTCCTCCGCCTGCTTTCAGACCCCTGTTGTCAGCAACATCACCGTATTTCTATTTGTCCTCCAGATGTCCCACACCTGAGAAGCCAATTGCAGGCTCAGGTCCCTCTGTGTCCCAGGCTCTGCTACACCCTGCTAGTGTATTGGTGGGGGAACCATGAGCTCATTTCACCTCCCCTTGCTCTCCCAGGGTCCCCTGTATATGTCTTTGCCTCCTCTGCCATAGCCTCCTAAGTGGCAAACTTCACGTGTGCCCTGCCAGGGAGGAATTGCAGCATCCCCACTTCCAGTACCCAGTGGCAGGGTCTCCTCTTCTGTGATCACTCCCTTGCCCCAGCCCTCACACCTGACCATGGTCTGACTTACAGGTTCTACAAAGCTCTCACTTGGCCTGGTCTCTGGGGCATGGGCCAAGCCTGACCTTTGTCCTCTTACCTCCTGCAAGGCTGGCTCAGCTCCCTGCCTGATGTCCTGATTGGCAGGCTGAGAAGTTCTTTGAGACTTTGAGGTACTTGGCAGAAGTGTGGTGCAGTGGTTCAGACTCACATCCCAGGCCCAGATCTGTCTGGACAGACAAGGCCAAAGCCACACCAGGTGGCTGATGAGAGAGGCTGATGAGCCTCTCTCCTGAAGGCATCTAAGTGCTAACTCTGACACCACCCTGACCCTCCAGGCCTATGGCTAAGGTTCATGGACCTGCCCTCTCCCTCCTCCCTCCCTGGCAGACTCTACTTCCCTTGGCCCTGAGTCCCACATCATCCCTGATCCCCTGCCCCATTCCCAGCAGGAATAGCAGAGGCTCCAGTGTCCCCAAGACACCCAGACAACAAAATCTCAGGGGATTAGCCAAAAGATGTGTGGACTCTGGTCCTCAATACTTTTCTCATCCCTGTGTGGCCCATTCAGTCAGTAAAAATCCAAGGTAGGAGAACACGCGTGTGGATGGGTGGGGTTCTCCTATGTGAGGAGCTCTTAGAAATATTTGCAGTGCCATTCCCACACAGCCTCTGTGGGGTCTGATAGACCATGTTCCCAGCCCAGGCTCCACACCAGCTCTGACTGTGACCAAATGTCTGATTCTCTGATCTTCAGTTGACTCATCTCTGAAAGTCATCCCCACCTCAGAGATATACCTGTGGCATTCTCAGCCCAGAGTGTGGCCCAGACTTCTCAGTTAACGATGCTCACACAGGACAAGAGAGCAAGTGGACGGGCTGTCTCACTGGCCCTCACCACCGGGACCATGCTGTGTTGCTTAGTGGGCATTGTGCCAGGAGCTGAGCTGGCCAGACTGACTGCTGGCACTGCTGCTGGTTCATGCTGAAGCACCTATACTCTCCTGGTACCACCAGTCCCAGGTGACACTCCCACTCACACTTACACAGGTAGCAAGTGAGTCACTTCAGGGCCTCCAGCTTGTCTCTGTTCCACCATCTACTCTATCTATCATCCTCCTAGATCCCAGTCTTGCTATAAAATGAGGATAGTTCTTTGGAAAGAAATGAGTTAATGTGTGTGTGAAAGAAGTTTGGAGAGAGGCGTGGTCCTGCATGCCTGTAATCCTATCCCTCAGGAGGATGAGACAGGAGGAATCATGAAGTCAAGGGCAGTCAAGACTATAAAGCAAGTTTGAGGCCAGTCTGGACTGCAAAGAGATATTCTATCTCAAAAAATAAATAAATAAATAAATAAAAGAGGCAAGTCTGGACTGAAGAGATATTCTATCTCAAAAAAATAAATAAATAAATAAATAAAAGAGGCAAAAAATTAAAAATGCAGTAGTAGTTTGGAGGGTCTGGGATTGTAGCTCAGTAGTAGCGTATGTGCTTAGCGTGCACAAGGCCCTAGGTTTATCCCTAATACCCCTCTCAAAAGAAGGAGAAAGCATCATAGGAGGGTTAGATAAAATCATTTTTAATCTGTCCACTTCTTCCTCCATTATTCTGTCTATCCCAGGTATGGGCCATTCGATCATTCACTTAACAAACACTCAGGTTTCTACTGTACCCAGCTCTGAACTGGCCCCTGAGGACACAGGAAAGAACTGAGCAGTTTATGCCCCTGCAGAATGTTGAGGCAGGCAGGGGAGAGGATGAATACATTCACAAGGACAGGACATGAGCAACACGTGCTAAGATGAAGGAAAAGCCCAAGAGATGTGTGTGAACTCAGCAGAGGTGCTCCTTTCAGCCAGAGGAGTCCAGAAGCTTCTTTGAGAAAGCGACCCCTGGGGTTAGTCAGGTGAAAGAGGAAAATAAAAGCAGGAAGAGAAAGGCATTCGCACAGCTTGGTGGTAATGAAGCAGCTTCGTGTCTGCCTGTGAAAGAACAAATCCATTCATGAGCAGGCTCCTCTTTCTTGGCTCACCCTTCCTTCCTTCCTTCCTTCCTTTCTTGCTGTGCTGGGAATTGGACCAAAGGCCCAGCACGTGCTAGGCCAGCGCTCTGCCCCAGGAGACACCCCAACCAATGCCTGTATCTCTAAATGTCTTTGTTCCCCTTTCCTGGCCCAGAGATTCCTCCTGTCCTGAGCCCCAGAAACCAAAAGGCCTGTGGTGACAGCCAGGAAAACACCCTCTCCCTTCCACTGCCCTGACAGCCCCAGGAGTAATGAAGGAGCTGACCAGGCCTTGACCAGAACTCCAAGCTGACCTCATGCTGTGACCACCCCCACCCCGCCAAGGATGAAAAAGCTCAGGGTTCATCAATGACTCCACCTAGAGCCTGGAAAGTGGATGTCAGCAGGAGAAAGAATAGTTGAGTCCTGGGGTATGACGGACTTGGCAATGGGGAGAAAAAGGGAAAAGGTTCGGAGGAAGGCGGTGGGATTCCCTGTCCAGCCTGTCTGGGCTCTGGATGGCAGGAGGCTGAGTGATGCACTTCTGCTCCCCAGCAGGGTGATCCACCACCTTTCCCTTTTGTGCACAAACCCTTCGTCCTTGTTCCTGACGCCCTCTCCTATCCGAGTATGTGAGTGCCACCCATCCTCTGGGCGCGTGGGAGCTGGGATTCTAATTCCAGCAGTCTGACACAGTAGCTGGTCAAGATGCTTACTTCTCTAAGCCTGTTTCATCATCTGTACTTTTTTATTTGTTTGTTTGTTTGAGACAGGATCTTGCTATGTAGTTTAGGCTGGCCTTGAATTCAGTACGTAGCTTGTACTCACAGTGATCCTCCTGCCTCAGCCTCCTAAGTGCTGGAATTATAGACATGTGCCACCGTGCCCAGATCATCATCTGTAAAATTGGCAAATAAAAGTTCCTATTTCTTTGAGTTGTTTGGAAGATTATATCAGAAAAAGACGTTGAGCTGGGCACGGTGGCACATGCCTGTAATCTTAGTTACAGGCAGGAAAGTTACAGTTTCAGTCCAGCCTGATCAGCTTAGCAAGTCCTTGCCTCCAAATAAAAATTGAAAAGGACTAGAGATGTAGCTTAGTAGTAGAGCCCTTGCCTAGCATGCACGAGTTTCTAGGTTCTATTCCCGGGACTATTTTAAAAAGAAAGGCAGAGGGAGACAACAGGAATAGAAACTGCCTGAGACCAGTTCACTCCTCCATAGGTGGGCACTTCTTACCTGCACCTTCAAGTACCCAGCTCTAGGATGCCCCTCCCAGCACAAGAAGAAGGTGGGTATCTCACAGGGGCAGGAGGAGGAAAGTGGCTCTCAGTGGAGCCTCTCCCTTTGTGGGAGCGCTGATCCCCTAGCCTAGTCCCCACCTTCCCCAAACCCTGTGGGGCGCCTGCTACAGGGAGATGGAAGCAGAAGAGGACAGCGGTGAAGCTGGGGCCTCTTAACCCCAGTGAGGAGGCGGAGGATGAAGAGAAGGACATGGGGCCCAGACTGATGCCCCCCACTCCTTTCAGCCCATCTCAGACTTGGTGCGCACTCCATGGAGGCCCATCCTCAGCCCACCAACACCACCACCGCCACGGTGGCTCAGCCCAGGGCCTCCTCCAGCCTCCAGCAGGTTGAGCAGGGCACTGGACAGGGAGCTGCGGGAGGCACAGCCCTGTCCTGCTTCCACAGACAGCAGTGAAGAAGCACTAGGAGGAACGGTCTGAGGACTGAGGTATAGTGGCGTGTCTCTCCCGGGCCAGCTACAGTGCCTGGCTTGTGAACAGGGGCCGAGTTCTCCCATGCAGCACAGGCAAGACCCTACGACAGTGAGAGAGGGCACCACTGGCAGGTGCTACCAAGTGCACTAGAGGTCGGCTGGGGACGCCAGGCATGGAGAGGGACTGAGTTCTGGGCTTCAAGCTAAGTTGCTCCCAGCTCTATTCTGGCCTCCAGATTAAAGGCTCAGCTCTCAGCTTTGGGCTCCGAACTGGGTTCAGCTGCTGAGTGGGCCAAGTTTTAGGTTCTTAGCTAAGATTTTTAAGTTTCATTCAGGATCCTGATGCCAGGCTGGCCAGATTCTAGCTACAGGACTCTAGAGTTAGCTCTGGGCTCAGGCTCTGCCCACTCTGCGGAAGTCACAGCTTCTTACCCTCCTGCCCTCTTATAGGCAAAGCTGCAGGAGCTGCAGGGCCTGGAGGAAGGTGCCTATTTTACATGAGACATACTTTTCCATCGAATACAGTAGATTTGTCTAAAAATGAATGTATGTGTGCCTTTACTTTAGAATCAGGAGCGGACTGGCAAGAAAAGCTGTAGGGCTGAGGTGCTTCTCTGTCACAGGATGGTTGACAAGCCCCAGCTGTGTGTAGCCCATGGCTGTACTTCAGGCTCCTGCCTGCCAGGGTGATGGGCTCTGGTTCTGCTTGCATTCTCCCTCCCCAGCACCTTGGAGCCCCCATGCTATCTTCAGGGGGCCAGGTAAGAAACTTTCACTTGGCAGATGGGGGAACAGACCTAGAGCAGAAGGGCAAGGGGGGCAACCCTGAGCAGGATGGTGGATCAGGTACCTGGAGGGGAGGAGAAGGTGAAGGTGGGGATCTGTCCTAGGGAAAGTCCCAACATTTCTCTTCTCCCCTCCTCTCCTCTCCTTTCTTCTCCTCAGCCCAGCCTCACTTCCAGCTTCTCGATCCAGAGCAGGACCATGCCCTTCAACTCCATTCAGGCCTCACAGGAGACCTGATCTCTCCCATCAACCTCTGGCCTCTGAGTCTAGCCCAGCAGCCCCCACCAGAAGGTGTCCATGGTTTCTTCTGTGGGGTGCAGAGGGGGGAGTGGGAGGGGCTCCTAGGCCGGAATACCTGGATAGAATGCAGAAGGCTGGAAGTCACAGCTGCCTGTGATCTCACTGTGTAGGGCAGCAGAGCCACCCGGAGCCAAGTATTTTTTAGGGGGAGAAAGAGTAATAGCGATCTGGTGGCAGCAAGGCACAGACACAGACAAAGTAGGGGCCCCTGCAAGGCTCCCCACTGAGCTGTCACCTGAGGGTGGGCAAGGGCAGGGCTATACCGGGGGCCACTCATCTTTCCTGCAGAGCATCATGCACCACCACTTCATCCAGCCACAAGAGCAAGTGCTCATCAACCGCCAGGATATCATAAACAGAAAGGTGGGCATGGGCGGGCTGTGGGATCGGCAGCAACCCGCCAAATCCGTCCTGCATTCCGTGATCTACAGCTATCCCCTCTAGAGCAGACTCGCAGAGCACTCCTTCCCACCACTCACTGAGAGCAAACATCCAGGCAGAGGCTACCATGGTGACAACACCTGCCTTATGGAAGGTCTCTACCCTCTTCCAGGATGCCTGGGACAAGCAGGAGTTTGTCCGCATGTCCATCCAATACATGCTGCAACATCCAGCCTTCCATATTCTGCTGGCCCTGCTGCTGGTGACCAATGCCATCACCATCGCTCTCCGCACCAACTCCTTCCTTGATCAGGTGTGACGAAAGCCCAACCTCTGTCCCCATTGGCTCTGGTTTTTTTGGTACCAGGGATCAAACTCAGGACTTTGCACTTGCAAGGCAGGCTGCAGCACCACTGAGCTAAATCCCCAGCCGTACTCACATTGGCTCTGATGGGGACTAGGTTGGGTGCTTCCTGCTCATGTTCCTTGTCTGGCTATTATGGCTGGATCGATGCTCTTCAAGGGTCAGTCCAGCCTGATCTGCCAGAGATCTGGAGGTCAGGAAGACTGTGGTGCAGGGGGCTCTGGAGCCTGATTTGAGGAAAACACTGGATTTGTAGAAGGGCGGGAAAAGAATGGTGGGAATAGAGGCAGACAAATGGGTACCTTGTGGGGAGTGGTGGCCAATCTCAATCATGGTCACTAAAGGAGAGTCACTCTGGGCCAGGTGCTGACTCTGCTTGGTACCAGGGATTCAGGTAAAGAACAACATCACTTCCCATGTCAGATGCAGACACACTCTTATAGTATTTGAGTATCAGAGTGTGTGGAGCTCAAAGACAACAATCAACCCTAACCTGGGAGGTCAGGGAAGGCTCCTTGGTGAGGCTGGCACTTAACCTGAGAGGGAAAAATGAACAAGAAACTAAATGTGGTGGTGCATGCCTATAATCCCAGTACTCAGGACGCTGATGAGTTCGAGGCCAGCCTGGGGTACATAGTAAGACCCACCTTAAAATAAAATTGAGTCAGAGTTAACCACACAAAGTGAGATAGTGAAGAGGGTAAGAGTGTTTTGGACAAAAGAAATGGCATGGGAGAGATTTCTGTGTGTCCAATTGAACATCTAGTGACTTTGGTCTTATTGATGTTTTAATTTCTTACAAAGAGTATACATGCATGTATTGTGTGATTTAAAATCAATATGTCAGCCTGTGGGTGTAGCTGAGCAGTAGAGTGCTTGCCTAGCATGCATAAAGCCCTGTGTTTGATCCATTGATGCAAAAATAAGTATGTCCAGTGTGGTGATAGCAGATAAGCTCAAAGAGGTGGGTGGTCAGTGGCCAAATCACACTTGGTCTCTGTTATGTCGAGAAAGATGACCTTTCTCCTTTGTCATCAGAAAGTGAGGGAAGGGTTTTAAACACTGAAAAATGATCAGGCTCAGTTTTTAGAAAATTTACAGTGGCTGCCACGGTGTGGACTCTGGGGTGGGGCTGGGAGGCTGAGAATGGAGAAGATGGGCCAGTGAGGGCTGCTGGGACTCAGAGCAGGAGAATGGCAGTGGAGAAAGGGGTCAGAAGCACTGGCAGCTCTGTAGGGTTGAATCCATGAGCCTTCCTGGTTGATCACATTCCCAACTCATATGTAGTGAGCACAGGCTTTGTGCCACCTGTGTCAACAACACACGTCCTTATCTCAGCCATGCAGACAAAGGGAGAGACGGAAGGTAAGTTCCTGACTGGAGTAGTGGTGTGCTGTGGGGCTGGTGCTGCTTTGGGACACGGTGGATGTGGGGCACACAGGAGGAAAAGCAGGTCTACAGAGGGTGCAGAGGTCAGGATGAGCTGTGTGGTGTCTATGGCCACTGAGGGATGTTTTTACAGGAGTCTAAGGCCAGGACCAAAAGGAGGTGGAGGGCACTGGCTGGACATGGTGAGAGTTGTCTACACTCCTGTGCCCAGGCTGAGGAGGGGACACAGTGTCTTGCAATGTGTTGATGAGAGAGGAGAGTCAAGACAGATCCCTAGGAAAGCCTCTGCATAAGGGCAAGAAGGGAGGTGGAGGCCGAAAGGGAAGCCGAGGAGGAGTGGCCAGTGGGCTCTGGTTCTGGGATTGCCCAGGAGATACACCTAGGCAGCAGTTCCAGATGTGGAGAGATGTGGCTGATAAGGTCTAGCAAGCATCCCCAGGTTTGCAGCACTGACCTGCACAGGAGCCAGCTTTGTATGGTGGAGGCAGAAATGTACCTGACAAGTCTGCAGAACAAGCAGAGTGGACAGAGAGGAACAGAGCACAAGCTGCAAAATGGGCTGTGAAATCAATCCAGAGTGCAAATGCCCCCTTTTTGTTTTGGTGTGCTTTGCTTTGCTTTGTTTTGAGACACTGTATAGCTCAGGCTGGCCTCAAACTCGCTATGTAGCCCAGCCATCCTTGAACTTGCTATGTAGCCCAAGCAGGCCTTGAGCTTGTGTTCCTCCTGCCTCAGCCTCCTGGGTGCTGGGGTCACAAGCATGTACCACAACACCCAGCAAGAAGCTTTCTCTGGGCTGATAGCCATGGTCCTTGACAGCACTTTGGGAATTTGAAAGAAGCAAAAACCCCATTAACCTTAGCCCACATCTAAGCAGAAGCTCTTAGCAACCTGGCTTCGACTGTGGGTGGGATGGTGGCAGGAATAGGCAGCAGGGAAACCCCATGTGCAGTTGTGAGCTCCAAAGGACCAAGTCTGTTGACCACTGGAATAAAGGGAGAAGATGAGCCAGGCATGGTGGCTTATGCCTGTCATCTCAGCACTCTGGGAGATTGAGGCAGGAAAATTGCAAGTTCAAGCCCACCCTGGGAAACTTAGCAAGACTGTCTCAAAATAAAAACTAAAAAGGGCTGAAGATGTGGCTCAGTGGTACAGTGCCTCTTGGTTTGATCCCTAGTACCATTGCACACGTATACACACACACACACACACACACACACAAACACACACACAGGTTGGGGGGCACAACGTGACTTTGGTGATACCAGGCTGAAATGGGTGGGGAGGGTAACAGGCTGTTAGTAGAGGTCACAGATATAGGGAAGCTGAAAGAGTAGGCGTGAGGCTAGGCAGAGGTGAGTTGGGTTCGGACAGCTCCTAGTAGTCATCTACCCAGGGTACCCATTGCAGGCCCATAAAAGAAACAGGACACCAGGAACTGGGTTGGGCCTGGGCTGGGGGACTCAGAGTGCTGGAGCAACAGGAATGGTTGAGACACATAGAGAAGGGACCTGGGCTTGGTGTCCCCCAGCCTCAGGGGTGAGTCCTCTTCTTCCCACAGCTGGACCTGCTTAGCCTTCCCCACCTCGCTTTCCCAGATCCTCCTTCCCTAGAGGCTAGGAGCAATGGGGGCAGAAGTCTTTGGTCAACCGTGAGGTTTTCTGACCTTGACTGAGTGCACTGGACGACTCTCTAGTCCTTGTCTGAAAGATGGGAGTAGGAGCTGCCTTTTTTTTTTTTTTTTTTTTTTTTTT